TCCATCAATTTTTGCCGAGTGGACAAAGACGTGTGCGGCCTAGCATTGTCCTGCTGGAAAATGACACCTTTACGATTGACCAATTCTGGTCGCTTTTCCTTGACCGCTGCATTCAATTTGTCCAGTTGCTAACATTCACGGATAATAAGAAATAACATAATAATAATAATAATAATAATAATAATTTTATAATATAACATTTACGGATATCATAAAAATGGGAGTGAGAGACATCTATAACTGAAATCGGCAATTACTTAGTTGCCAACCCATAGTACAACAGTATCTTTAAACTTTATCTTTTACACTTTTCCAACGTTTTTTGAACTTGATTCGCTCATTTTATCAAAAATGCATAAAATCTACGATGTAACGATGAGCAAAATATAAGGTACTTTTCGCAATTATTACGATAAATTATCCCAGTACAAGGTACTGATGTTAAGTCAAAAAATAATTCGAAATTATATAATTCATTACTTTTTCGTTGGAAACTTCGTTTTCGAAAGAATTTAATTTAGAAATCTACTCGGCACAGGCACACGCTCGTCCAAGTCTCGACTCAACGAATATCACTGCTGGCTGTCTTTACGCTTGAAAACCACTGCCGTATTTGTAAACATCATCAGTGATATCAGTTTTTCCATTACTCTTCACCGCGATCTCCAGACCTGCCATCGCTGCATTTTTATTTGCAGAGTAAACAGTAGACTACGGGTTTTTATGCGAAATAAAAACTTTCATCATAAATTGCAATAAACAAGGAGCAAGATAGAAATTTCGTTTATTAGTCAATAATGTCTTGAAAATAATTTAAATAAATTTCTAGACAATAATTTCGATGAGTCGTTAATAATATATAGATAATGTCAGATATTTTATTGAGAAGAATTATCGTGGCGTCTGAAAAACCGAACTTGCAAAATAATACTTTAAAAAACGTTCGTAGAAACGGAAAAGCAAATTATGTACATGAGACATGGACGTAAATTTTTAACAATGTTTCCGTTCAAAGTAGACCAATTTCAAGTGTTTTTGACACGTAGTTCCATGAGTGGCGCCGCTAGATGGCAGTACAAGCATGTATGAGTAGCCATTTTGGCTAATCTTTACTTTAAGGTTATGTCAAGGTTAGATCGTGCATAAGAAGGCTTTCAATGCGTATAACTTTTGAACCAATGGTTTGCGCACCTTGGGACTTGAATTGTTGGAGTTCCCTAAACAAAATCTACGGGAATATGTATAAAAGGGCCAAAAATCTCTGGACCCGTAAAGTAAAGTTTAACCTTAAATAAGATTTACCTCGATTTTTTCGATAACCGAAGTCCCCAATGAAAAGAATGTATTCTATACTTCCGACTTATTTTTTAACGTAGAATCAGCTTCTATCCAGATGTACCATCGGTTTTACACGACACCCTGAATTATTTTAATCTTATAAAATTGTCGAGGTTCTTTGGCATTGTAGTCAAACTGTTCCACAAGGTGTTCAGAACGAAGAGAAGAGAGAGTAGGTCGGGATGTTTATCGTAATTTTGGAAAATTCGATTGCTAACCGGCGGATAGAACGACGACAAAATTTGCTGCTCCGCGGGCATCGGGAGTCTGGTTGTTCGCCAAAAGAAAAGTACTTTCCGTCCCTATCGAAACAAAGTTCTTTGGGCTGCGTCTCGTCCGATGCACGACGTAAGTGTAGGTTTTGGCAGGGCACCGGAATCGCCGAGATGGAAGAAATTTCTGCGCGCCAAGGTTTTAGATTGCTTCGAGCTCTTTCAGGCTGATCGGCCGTGGGATAGGTTTTTCCATCGGCGATGGATCGCTGTACAAAGCGGGACGAACGGATTCGGTAAATAGTACTGGCCTTGGTGAAAGACCGGAGCTGGAAGCAAGTTTCTTTCGGCGATTAATTGAAACGGAAAACCGTTGCCCGGCGAACGGTCGAATGTTTTACACGGGATCAAGTCAATGCGAATTCTTGCCGCATAATATTCGAATTGAAAGAGTCCCGCCTGAAATTTCTCTCCCCCCCCCTTTCCGTCAAAGTGAATAGAGTCTTTTCTCCGTTCTGCGAAACTTCTTCTTACAGGTATTCTTCCGCTTCTTCACCATTGTACTACTATAATAGGTATGTTTTCCAGGGAATTTAATGAAACCACCGACCGCATTAAATCGCTGATAATGGGGTCGTTTCGTTTCTCGTCTTCTTTTTTTCGAGACGCTCGAGAGTATTTTATCTCGGCTGTTAATTCGATCTGAACAGATGACCTGAATTTTTTTTATTGAATTCAGGATTATTTATGATGCACGCGTTCGTAGCGATATTTCGTTATTTGCGTCCGTTCGAATGAGGGTTTCATCTTGTTATCAAACTTTTGTGGACCGAGCGATAAAAACTGGGCTTCGATTGTTTCATCTTGTCCATTGTCGCGTTAGCGATATTGAAATTACGGGCGTAACAAAGCAATTACAGGTACAGTTTTATTCAGAGTTTCAGACAGTTTCAACGATGCTAACGTGGTAGTATAAAGTGTTGTAGAAAAGGATAAGATCCTTCCAAATGGAATTACTTTTTTAAGATTGAATCAGAAATTTTGTTGAGAGATATTACATTGACCAGTTTACTTGGCAACGAGTAAAAAGATTTGCAGAAATTACAATTGATTGGAATGATGCGATAATTAAAACATTGTGTCTTTTAAACGATGTTTATTTGAAATCAAGTCACTTCGTAAATAACATTGTTTTGTTAATTTGTCTATATCCTATAGATTTTAGTTGATAATTTTTCTAAATTAATTTCTACGACAAAAATTTAAATAAAGATATTTAGTAAATTGTTCTTGTTTCTACTACAATTGTTTCGTTAATTTGTCTGTCTCCCTTAAATTGTAGTAAATAATTTTTCTAATCAGAATCGAAATGATGTTATTTAGTATAAAATTGACTAAAACTGATTTGTTAATTTATCTGTTTCCCTTGAATTTTATTAATTAATTTTTCTATAGTAAATCGTCTAATCAAATTCGAAAGACAGTCATTTAGTAAAAAACTGACTACAATTGTTTCGTTAATTGGTCGACGTAATTTTGTAATAATTACTATACATATATATTACTATATTACTATAGTATATTACTATATTATATAATTATTAATTTGTTGTTAATAATTTTTTCTAAAGTAATCTCTATAATCATAATCTAGATAACGTCAAACTACGTATAATATACAATTTATATTTTGTTTTGTGCACATGATATTTCATGTTTAATCAATAGTGCTGCTAGTTTATGATTCTGTATCTATTTCGCCTGTTACGTTGATCAACGCGTAGCTTGCGCATAATTTACAACAGAGTCAATAACATTACAGATTGAAATAGTGCAAATTGGTGAAGCGCCTCGCTCGAACATCGAATACGCTGACACGTTAATAATTTGTTCACAAGGCAAAGTAGCATCGGCTGCTTCTATTAATTTGACTCTTTATTGGGCGTGAATATCGGTTTTTCCACTCACCAGGAAGTATCGCAGGCATGCGTCAAGGTAAGGTATCTCGCGCCCAGGCCGTAAAATGTCCTGAGAACACCCAAGGAATTCCCCAGGGAGTGACCACCTTCCACTCCGATAAGACTTGCGATTTTGCCTTCTCGATGCGCCTCGATAAGACCTATGCAAACAGAAAAGATATACGATCTTTTAATAGTTTCTACGCCGAGACTGCCGTTGAAAATAGTTCGACAGCGAACGCATTACCTATCACTGGTTATTTAATAGCTATGAAGTGTCTACGATTCATAGTTCTGAATTTCTTATTCGATATTTCGGTAGTAATGACTGTACTGTGCGGAATTTTATGTAAAATAAAAATTGTTTGCATTAATTGTATGAAATAGGTTCAATCGAAATGTATAATTTTCTGTCAATTATTTTTACATTAACATACTTTTGTAATTGATTACGAGAAGGAATCACGGTAATCATAATCATTAATCAATGAGTCATGTAATCATTAATCAATAATCAGTAATCTGTAATCGCGGACGAATGAACAATTCAGAATTATTATTAACTGCCATAATATCAAATCTTTCAGTTGATAATAATAAACAAAGTAATCATTATACACAATTAACGATTACATTTGCTTCGATTACTTAAGTCATTCATTACTCGTGATTACTTAATTACATAGTAATTATAGTTATTGATCATTGAACGTGATTTCACGTTTGTCATAATTGTTAATCATTAATCGAATGACTTTTTGTCAAACTCTGATTGAGAATAACGTAACACACAAATAAACGCACAAAAATTGCAGTCAAGTAATGACAATAGTGCGAATTTTTATGCGAAATAAAAACATTATTCCTGGATTTCGACAACTTTAGGAAATCCTCTATTTTGCTATGATTTTAATGCCACAAAATAATAAAGTAAATTTCTCTTTTCCAATTCGGTAAAAATCAATAACAAATGAATTCGATATGTCGTTCCGCTTTTAAAGTCCACTTCGAAAGACCACTTGAAGATTAAATAAATATGTATCTGGAAGAGAGTTGGCTTGTAACGGTCACCACAAACTTCGAATTTCTGGGATTTCCTATCCTTTTAGACCGTTTGGTCGGTTGGTTCTCCTTTTTTAGTATAAATTATTTATACCACGTACTCTCTCTGTACAGATTTATTCGCAAATCCGAATATTTCCTCCAACTTTCTTCTCATCAATATTCTGTAACCTCTTGTTGCTTATTAATTCATCAGTATAACATTTTTAACAGTTATTGACGTCAGACTGTTCATAATTTTCCAATGATTGCCAATCCACGTTTTATCAATAAGTGAGTCAACGTTACGTATAATAAGCACCATTGAATGTAATCTGCTGTGGAAGATTTAGGACATTGAACCATAATTTATTCACATCCTTAATAGTCTTTCAACAATGATAATTTTTCTATAATCGATTTCTAAAAGTAATTTATTCTTTTAATTTATCTACTGGAAGTAATTTATTAATTTTAAAAAGCTAAAACTTGACACAATTAAATCAAGTACACATATTAAACTGAAAGAACATTATACAAACGTACTGTAAGTGACGTTGTCTATGATTTATATAGGCCTCTGTGTACGTTTCAACAATTTGTCTCGCAACAGCAAGACAAAAGAGTCAAGTTTTTCCTTGATCGAAAAAGGGTTTTCCATGAAAACAATACTTGTTAGACGTGAAGAAGACCTCCAGCGGCAGCCCTTCGACGGCACAGTTACATGAAACACGTGTTCGTGCTAAGTTTCTTTTTTACCAATTTCATGTAACCACTTCGCGTTTCAAGTTACGCGTATCGGGGGACACCATATATTTTCTAGCATACTCGTACCGCAACACCTGCTATTTTTACATCCGTGGTAACGATTTTTGCCGAAGGTTTTACGTTTCGCGAACGAAACACGGTGTCCCCGCGTTCGGTTGCGTGATCCAACACCATCGGTTTGCAGAAGATTCGACAAAAAAATGAACGCAACGTCTCGGGAGACAAACGAAACGTCCTTCGCCGGAATTTCTCGAGTGTTCTTCTCGCGGCCCCGATTCGGTTTCATAGTTGGCGGAGTTCCTTGAGCTTATGAAAATGGCTGCCAACGTAGGTTACTTGTCATCAAAACTTTTACAAGTTTTCACGCGGCTTACAGACTCCGACGGTTTCCCTATCCCCTCCTGTAGCTTCCCTTTTTCGGTTTCCCGCGGGAAATGCCTGGCCACCTCGCCGAGGAACAATTTTCTGTTTTTTCAACTGCGAAATTATTCATCCACTGATTCAGTGAACACGGTAAACAAAAAGGCCGAGTGCTGCCGTAGCGACACTCTCCGCGACGTACACAGTGCCCCAGGAAGTATTTGAACAGTAAATTTCCAATTTTTCGAGAAAAGAATCGCGTAATAATAAACTTTCAGCCAATCTACAGCTTGCGGCAGCCTCTATTTTTACCACAGAGTCGGGCATTGTACGAATAAATTTTTAGAATAGAGTTTCATTCGAATAAATTCTGCGAATAAAGTTTTATTCGAATAATCTTTCGAATAAATTCCACAAATAAAATTTTATCCGAATAATCTTTCGAATAAATTCTACGAATAAAATTCTATTTATTATTCCAATAAAATATGATATATACATATATAGGTAATATGCCATGCCAAAACATCTTAGAAAAAAATATATATAAATATCATATTTTATTGGAATAATAAATAGAATTTTATTCGTAGAATTTAGTTTTCTATTGAAAACTAAAAAACTCGTCGTTCCTCGAAAACGCTGGTAATTCTATTTAGTATTCCAATAAAAGATGTTTTGGCATGGCATATTACCTTATTAGGTAGAAAAGGTATAAAGGTAGAAAACTAAATTCTACGAATAAAATTCTATTTATTATTCCAATAAAATATGATATATACATATATAGGTAATATGCCATGCCAAAACATCTTAGAAAAAAATATATATAAATATCATATTTTATTGGAATAATAAATAGAATTTTATTCGTAGAATTTAGTTTTCTATTGAAAACTAAAAAACTCGTCGTTCCTCGAAAACGCTGGTAATTCTATTTAGTATTCCAATAAAAGATGTTTTGGCATGGCATATTACCTTATTAGGTAGAAAAGGTATAAAGGTAGAAAACTAAATTCTACGAATAAAATTCTATTTATTATTCCAATAAAATATGATATATACATATATAGGTAATATGCCATGCCAAAACATCTTAGAAAAAAATATATATAAATATCATATTTTATTGGAATAATAAATAGAATTTTATTCGTAGAATTTAGTTTTCTATTGAAAACTAAAAAACTCGTCGTTCCTCGAAAACGCTGGTAATTCTATTTAGTATTCCAATAAAAGATGTTTTGGCATGGCATATTACCTTATTAGGTAGAAAAGGTATAAAGGTAGAAAACTAAATTCTACGAATAAAATTCTATTTATTATTCCAATAAAATATGATATATACATATATAGGTAATATGCCATGCCAAAACATCTTAGAAAAAAATATATATAAATATCATATTTTATTGGAATAATAAATAGAATTTTATTCGTAGAATTTAGTTTTCTATTGAAAACTAAAAAACTCGTCGTTCCTCGAAAACGCTGGTAATTCTATTTAGTATTCCAATAAAAGATGTTTTGGCATGGCATATTACCTTATTAGGTAGAAAAGGTATAAAGGTAGAAAACTAAATTCTACGAATAAAATTCTATTTATTATTCCAATAAAATATGATATATACATATATAGGTAATATGCCATGCCAAAACATCTTAGAAAAAAATATATATAAATATCATATTTTATTGGAATAATAAATAGAATTTTATTCGTAGAATTTAGTTTTCTATTGAAAACTAAAAAACTCGTCGTTCCTCGAAAACGCTGGTAATTCTATTTAGTATTCCAATAAAAGATGTTTTGGCATGGCATATTACCTTATTAGGTAGAAAAGGTATAAAGGTAGAAAACTAAATTCTACGAATAAAATTCTATTTATTATTCCAATAAAATATGATATATACATATATAGGTAATATGCCATGCCAAAACATCTTAGAAAAAAATATATATAAATATCATATTTTATTGGAATAATAAATAGAATTTTATTCGTAGAATTTAGTTTTCTATTGAAAACTAAAAAACTCGTCGTTCCTCGAAAACGCTGGTAATTCTATTTAGTATTCCAATAAAAGATGTTTTGGCATGGCATATTACCTTATTAGGTAGAAAAGGTATAAAGGTAGAAAACTAAATTCTACGAATAAAATTCTATTTATTATTCCAATAAAATATGATATATACATATATAGGTAATATGCCATGCCAAAACATCTTAGAAAAAAATATATATAAATATCATATTTTATTGGAATAATAAATAGAATTTTATTCGTAGAATTTAGTTTTCTATTGAAAACTAAAAAACTCGTCGTTCCTCGAAAACGCTGGTAATTCTATTTAGTATTCCAATAAAAGATGTTTTGGCATGGCATATTACCTTATTAGGTAGAAAAGGTATAAAGGTAGAAAACTAAATTCTACGAATAAAATTCTATTTATTATTCCAATAAAATATGATATATACATATATAGGTAATATGCCATGCCAAAACATCTTAGAAAAAAATATATATAAATATCATATTTTATTGGAATAATAAATAGAATTTTATTCGTAGAATTTAGTTTTCTATTGAAAACTAAAAAACTCGTCGTTCCTCGAAAACGCTGGTAATTCTATTTAGTATTCCAATAAAAGATGTTTTGGCATGGCATATTACCTATATATCTGTCTCTTATACACATCTAGATGTGTATAAGAGACAGTATATATATATATATATATATATCATATTTTATTGGAATAATAAATAGAATTTTATTCGTAGAATTTAGTTTTCTATTGAAAACTAAAAAACACGTCGTTCCTCGAAAACGCTGGTAATTCAAACATTATTCGCTGCGTTATACGAAAACGTTTTAAAAAGAAATGAATAACGAATCGTGAAGGTGAAGGCTCTATGTTTGAAAATTACTCCAAGCATATTATTGTATTTCAGGTTTATGATCGTTTCATTTTTATTCGGTTCTCGTTACAGTGAGATACGTGTTTAAAACGGTGTGACAGTTTAATTAATAAATTGTCGAGATAACATGTTTTCGAAACGTGATCAATTGTTTAAATGTCTCTCAATTAGCAATCGAATCTGCGAATTGATTACTCGATGCAGATTGAGATCAGTATGGTTTTATTATGTGGAACGTCGACTATGTGCATCCCAGAAATATCGACTATCTTCAATGATTACAGAGTTTTCAGCGGCGCGAGAAATTTGTGAAACAACAAGTTTGATTAAAATTTTCAGGACGAGAAAGTAATTTTCGGTGCCGAACGAGAATTCTCCCGGAAACGTCGATCATTCGCGATTAAAACGAAAAAGAACTATGACCGGCGGAAAGTTCGTTATAATTGGAAACAGGCTCGAGACTTTATGTAATAAATTTTAAATAACACGGTTGAAAATGAAATAAAAATGTGCTCGCTATGTAATAGCTACAATCAACGTATCTGCTACAATTAAATTCATTACACGTTTGATCTCTTTATATTTTATTAGTTAATGATTACCTGCAAGCGCGAATTAAACGATTTGTTCGTTACGATTCACATCGAATCGCAAAGAATTCATTGCGAGGGAACGTGTAATCAGTTTAAAGAAACCACTCATAAATATTTCATGTTTCAGGATCGTTAAGCACGGAGCAAAACTTTCACAATCTCCAATAATGCGCATCCAGTTACTATAAAAATCCTACGTCCCTCCTGAAGACGGGCGAAATAGTTGGTCACAATTAATCTTCCCTCGAACTGGTGGCTGTAGATCAAGTTTCTGAAGATTAATTTAATTAAAATTCGATGAGAGAACTGACTGAAATTTAGTTCCCGGGGATATCGTTTGTAATATTTCGCGGCATCTTCGCCGAGCAACTCTTTCGAAGTTCCTTAAGATTTCCGATCGGTCGGTAATTAAATGGTTAAATAGGGTGAGAGGATTTATAGCGGTTAGACGGCGTCGATTAACGTCTTGCAGGTTAAGTAAACATTTTTCAGTCGTCGGTTAAGCATCCACAATATGCGGTGGTTTTATCAAGTTGGAACCAATAATTACTTTCCTCTTGAACGATACTGCTTCAGAGAAATCGAGCAATTAATACTAGTCTCCTTTGTCCTCTCGAGTTTCCTCGAGAGCAAACTTCCTGTCAGGTTCTGCCGTTTCTACTGTATCCATTGTTACTCGCAGTTGGTACGCGTTTCTAGCAATCTAATTACCACTTGAACAAGTACCAACATTTAAAACTTCGAAATCTGATTTCTCGCTGCCTCTCAACTATGATTAAAACTTCCGTCAAAACACAAATCAGGCGACCGTGTTCTAGAGACCGTACGTTTCTCGTCGTGATTCCTGTTGACCGGTTTGATTTCGGTCGATTTTTACACGGATTTGGAATCCACTCGCCGACGGGATCTCAAACGGTCGAAATCGAGAAGTTTTGATTTCATCTTTGTAATGTTAAATGTTAACGGAGCAAGACAGTTTGTAATTTTCAATGCGTGAAACAAGTTTAAGAAACACCAAGGAATCTCAATAAACTTGATATTACTTAGTCTTAAATATAAATAAAGATTGAAAAGGTAAACTGATCGATGATATCTAAGCTGTTAATTCATATTATTGTTATACGGATATACAAAAAAGAATGAGATGCTCTGAAAATAAAAAGAAAAACTTGAAAGAATGTGGTTTTTGAAAAATAAAAAGGAAGAATAATTGGAAAGAAATGAGTTTACAACAGACTCTTAATTTAAAACAGCTTCAAACGAAAGATAATAAATATTAGTTAATTATATATTTATTAAAGGAATGTATTTAGTTATTTAGATATTAGATCGTAATTATTAGACATGTAATGTGATATTACACTATAGCGTTAAAATTAATATAACGTTTATTCATTCAAAATTTAATAAATAACAAAATTATTTGTTACCGTACTCGGGATTTATTTAAAGTAGATAATACCCAGATAACCGTAGCTTATTTCCGTACACTCGTATATTTCGAATTCTAATCCGCAATAATGGGTACGCAATAAATGGATTGCACAGCTTTTTTTCATCCGCAATAATGCGTACAAAATGTAATCGATTTTATTTTTTTATACTTTCCTTATGCGATAATTATGTTTCGAGAACATCCAATTTTGTTGTCCAGACAATTATCATTGTTATACAGAATTCACCATTTTTCAATGAAACGCTCAAACATATTATTTTATGAACAAATAAATTAGGCTCGAAGCGTTAATTAAAGTCTTTTTATTTTTGTGCGTAATGAACGAGAACGAAAAATCGCGTGATATTTGCGAGCAGCTCAATGACCGTGGCGGAAAGTGCGAAAAAATTTCTAAATCAAGCACACGATAACTCCGTGCATTAATTTTTGTAAATAGCCTAGACTTCCGACGAGCAATGAATAATTAATGAAAAAAAAGGAAACGTCGCCGATGTTCCATTTCATGATGCAATTTCTGTTCTCGCGGAATGGACGAGAATAAATCGCGGCTCGTACCATTTCGAAATCCGTGATAATGCATCGTTCCTTCTCAGAACGTAAATCTTTGTCCTTTTTCTGTTTCACGGCACTATGAGATTACATTTTTTATTTTTACAGCAATCCAGGGGAATCGTGTCTGATAAATTTTGCCCGAACCATTACATCCGCCCCTGATCCTTTATGTTGCAATCTTCCTCCCGATTCTTTCTTCCTTTTTTTTTTGTCTCCGTTCTACCTGGCCTCGCGAAAAACTTTCCCTGCACTTTACATATTCGCACGACACTTTACACAATTCAAAACCAGCTACGGTGTATCCCTCGCGACATTTATTTTCTACTTGCTTGAAAAATATCAAATGCAACCGATTTTTCTTGCTGAATTGCTGCTTCTCTTCAACAACACCCGTGCTCCTTTATCGTCGTTGCAGGCTTCTCTTTTAAATCACACGGGGTTTCCTGTTTAATCGTTCAGCGTGTATTTCACGACGTATTTTCAAGAAGGAATTGTCCACCTTTATTTTCCAAAATAGGAGTTTTCAGGCGGAACATGTTTTTTTGATTCTATTTATGCATATTTCCATATATTCCTGTATATGTTTTATTAAATCCTGATAATTTTATCTTTGGATGACATTGAACTCAAATTTTTCAATCCAAGGTCATCCGAAGGTATATATATATAAATAGGATATAAATATTTATATCCTATATATAAATGTTTCTAACGAAAGTTTATCGGTTTCTCGTCGGCTACATGATAGAATATTGGATTAAAAAAATTATTATTTTTTCAATAAAAAATCGAGGCCACCTTCACTCTTTTAAATGGCATTGTATATTCCTTACTTCATATTATTATAGTCTAATTCATATTATAGTCTTGACACGAACTATAATCATATGAAGTAAGGAATATGCAATGCCATTTAAAAAAATAAAGGTGACCTCGACATTTTATTAAAAAAATAATAATTTTTTAAATTCGATATTTTAATGTGTAGTCGAGACGAGAAGCCGATAAATTTTTGTTAGAAACATTTCTTGTCAGATTAACAGGAATGCTCGAAAAATACGTGAACAAAGGTAAAGAGAATATTCTGTACAAATGAAACATTATTAAGAAATCCTATGAATCGCAGACTTTGAAAAGTGTTCAAATATTCACAGATAGGTGAATGCGTTGAAACGGTCCAGCAAACGTAACGCGCATCGTTATTTTCTATAGAACGTCACCGTTTCAAATGCAACAATGCTATCGCGATTGGATGTCGCTGATTACAGATACGTTTTATTAAAGATAAACGGGATGCTCACCTTTGACGGAGGTAACCAAAGTTAAATGTTGAGCATTCATCTCGGCCAGTCGGCGGATCACGTCGATTTGTTCCAAGGAAAGCTGAACTGCATTCAGCTGAGCTGCACCGCATGGAACGTAGGCGGACCAAAACTGAAAAGCGAATGCACCGGTCGTTATCAGTCCCTTATGTTTCGTTTTTACCGGGAAATAGATGGAACGAAATAAAAAAAAAAAGAACTGCCGCAGAAGAAGCAGCGCTGATTTCACAGCCCGAAAGCTTTTTTGAACATCCGGCACACTACGAAATGCGTATGCATATGCGATATTTTATAATTGGTTTACGTTTAAATTGGCGCCGCTGTAGCACGCCTTTGATTCTTTTGATCACATCATTTCACATTCAATGCAATACTCAATTTTCATTATTATTTATTCGTACATTATTTACATTTTAAATTCCGCTCCGACATATTTATTTTATTGCTGTTTCCTATGCTGTCGGCGGGTTTAATATCAATAAAGTTCGATATGTAATGTTTTATTCTTACTTATTCATACGTTATTCGTATTTAAAATCAGATTTTCCCGCGTTTCGTTTATTGTTATTCTGGATCCTGATTTTACATTTAATACTAATAAAAATGGTACTATTATCGTACTACATTTATAAACATATACATTTAACCGCAGAGCAGTATATTAAAGCATGCTCATTTAAATATTTATTAGTACATACATAATTTAAATCTATTAATTATTGAAGCATTTAAGTAATAATAAAAGCAATACACGCATATTGTCGGAATCATTGCCGATTATAATTATCTTGTTCTTCTACTTTCTATTTGCTGTATTTTTCATTTTTAATTTTCTCTATCTATCCAATCCTTTCGTAGAACATATGAACACGTTATTGTTGTCATTAGTAAAATGGTTGCATTAATACATGATATTTAGTTAATTTGTTAAGTGTATCACTGCTCCGGCATCGAGTGAATTTGGAAATTTTGCCGCAATGAAACGGGCGTAAATGAATTATTAATATTCAATACGTACTCGCATATCAATATCACTGTCTGGTGGTAATTAACCACTGATTGTAGCGTCATAATACGTTCGCATTCATAACACTTAAGGGTACTTATAAGTGGGTGATAGACGGTTAATTAACACTTCTCGTTGAATGAGCCAACGCGCTCTCACATGTCCACGCAAGACACTCTGCCGATTTCAAAATCATTTTGCACGGTGCTTAACCGATTGATTTCCCAAATAACATTCATGGTATCGCAATTCCACGCGAAATGTAAAAATACGTCCACTTGTATGTCGAAGAATTGATCTAATTGATCAAGTTAATTATATAATTAAATTATAACAATTGCACGGTAATTAATTTAATTATAACGAATTATATTTAATTTCATTGTAGTTATTCGATTTTACATCATTGCAAAAGCTGTACAGAAACTAAAAACGTACTTTGCATTACACAAAGTAATCGTTTTTCCATCCTTATTGTACCTTTAACAATTTTTTACCATTAAGCAGACACTCCTAAATACAACAGTATACTTCTGTGTAATATTTAAACGTTTGAACAATATTTAAATAGGTTTCTTGGATATCGCTCTGTTAATTTTGACAACTGCAAATTTCTCGAGAAGTTTTTTCGAGGCTCGCGTTCAAAACAATATAACTTTCTCGAAACTGATCTAAATGACTTGAATTTTATTTAGACGATGGAAGGACTAGTCTATTAGGCAATCACTGAAATACTTCTTCTTTTTAACTCCGCTATTACTCGGGATGACAAAAAGGATAAAATAACTCACGTTTCTTGACTTGCTCATCCGAGCCTACAACGAAAATGTCAAAAATGTCTGTCGTAGATCTCGATAATTTGTATGCATGCTGAAAATTTGATCGAAATCGGTTAACGCAGAGTTAATTTGCAGCCGTTGAAAGATTTCAAGATCTGCAGGTTTCTTACATTTTCTTTCTTACAATACACAAAATTATGACAAAACTGCTTTATTGTTCGCGACTCATAGCAACGTCCACAGATTTCGATGAAATTACCGACATGCGCATAAGTTACCATGATCTGCGTTTGTGAAATTTTCGTTCTAGGCTCGGATAAAAATAGCCTGGCCCATTAACCATCTGAAGAAAGTTCAAGCCGTTTAGCCCAGTTTTTAAATAAAGTTATACCGTTTCAAAAGTGTCCCGATACTTGTGTGCCGTAGTGTACGTGACTCCATGGCCTTGTATTTTACGGGCGTACAGAGCGCAATTGAAAATTCTTTAGAAGCAATTTTCGCGGGGCGAGCTGCAAGGGGTTAACGTGAAAAGGAGCGAAAAAGGGGGGTTGGGGATGGCGGGGATGAGGAATGGGGGAGGGGAGGGTGGCACACCTCCGCGTTTCACCGCGTTCCGCTTTGAGAAGCAACGTTACCAATTACTCGGCGGTCTGATTACCGTGGAGTTTCTGCGCCAGCGTAAATATTGAATTTCGGCTCCAGTCTAACCCGATTGGCATCCCCGATTCTCGCGGAGTAGCTGCCACGAGATCAACGTTATTATACTAATCGGGTGGTGATATGGCGGTAGCAGAAAGACGCAGGGCCCGAGTTATACCCCGCGCAAGCGGCTGCTCGAAATTTCATGCAAAATGAGTTACCGCTTAAATTAGCGGGGGAGGATTGAACCGCGTGTTTGCCGAATCAAGAACGGCTCTGTTGTTAGCCTGATTCCGTTCATTACGTCTCTGACATTCTAACACAGTTTTTACAGCAGCTCAAAGAGAACTTCGAGTCTTTTCCACAACGCGCGATTAATTGCGACGTTGTTGGTCCAATCTTTTAAATTAAATTGCTTGGCATTCATATTCGATCGTGAGAATACGCATGTTTATAATTTGTGCGGGATTGGAGATGTTTTAGCTTGTGAATGAGAGAAATAATTAAAACGTGGAGCCATAGTTTCGTGCATCATACTTTATTCGGATTTTTGTATCGTTTTGAGACCGTTTTTCATCGAATTTAACTCCGTCGACATGTATTTACTTATTGCGTTTGTATTGCTGTTATTTTATTTATTGACTATTTTGCTATATTGTATTTTTACGTGTCTTGTTTTTATTAGTGGATTATTTAAAAATTTTAAGGTGTTTTATACATAAGAAAAAAAGATGAAATACATCTTCGACGATCTGATAGTGTAATTAGATTGGGGATCATTATGTACATCCTTATTTTTATATATCGTTTTCTTTCTGCTCGATAAATAATTTCTTGTGTTCAAAGTAAGATAAAAATATTATTTACCTTAATTTATGTGCACGTATCCTTGTACTTTGAAAATTTGCACATGTCGTAAATGCATGAAGATGAAGAAGTTTAACGTTCTTTTAATTAACAACTTTCATTAGTATATAACTCTGCACAATTGTTCGAATGAAATACATGAATTGTATATATTTTGCAAAATCGACTTTAAAAAACTCTTTAAGTCACTTAAAACACGTATGTCGTCCGTTGTGGAAAATAAAGGAGGCTTTACAATGTATTGAAAATAATGTTATGTATTTTACGTAAGTCACATTTTTGTTGTAAATGTGCCATTATTCAGTCGCACTGGCTTTTTGTTCGTTTGTTGTTTACATAAGCAGACCTTCCGGAGTTGATTTCGTAATAAAAACGTATAAGTACCGTGAAAGATGGCATTAATTATCTCGAAATGATGAGAACATTGGATATTCGTGGTGTGCCATAGAGGGATGCAAAAGACGAATATAAGTCACGTAAAATCCCAGTCTGGCCGACACGTTGCATGTTTGGTATTTTAAATTGGCTTCACGAAGTTCTTCAAGTTCGTCGTAATTTAACGAGGAAGCTGTACGCCGAGGAAGTGCGACCCCGTATTAAAGTTATTAATTATCCAATTATGAATTAAATAAATAAGGTCCTGTGTTAAGCGGCTGTTATTTTATATAAGGAAAATTCTCATCTTAGCCGAAGAAGAAAAAAACGAAAAAGAAGCGAATTAAATGCGACAAGGAAAACATATCACGGCCGTCTTTTCACAACACTTGACGCTCCTAGTGCAAATAATTGAGTTGCTCGCGTGCAGCTGAAAGTTTCATGTTAAATTGGCTATTTTCCCAACCGTGAAACTTGCAAATTCCTGAAATTGCAATTATCCGCGTTGCTTTTGTCACGGGAAAGTTCTCCATCAGTAGCATTCTCAAATTCAACTATTTATGCTTCCTACAGAATCAAAATTACCCCTTGCTTTACGATTCCTTTCGCAGCTGTGCTGATTAAATAAATAATTGGCTAGAAATATTTCAACTAAGAAATACAAATATTTGCAAATATTATCTCTCTTGACTGTGTTACGTATGCTTTACTTCCGCATCAAATGAAACACTAGTGGAAATACTCCATTGATTTTACAAATCCGCAACATAAATATTTTACAATGCCAACATGAAATATTTAATTGAAATAATTTAATAATAAAAGTAATAATAATATAATTTAATCAATAATAAAATAATTTAATAAAATACACGATTTCGTTCGATATAGCACTGTTCAAAAAGTTATTCCACTGAAATTTAGACGATTATGATGAATTTTCTAGACAATCCATCGTAATTTCCTCATTAAATTAAGCTTCGCAAGAGGTAAGAATATCGAAAAAACTAATTGATGTCATAAAACGTTGATTTGCGGTTTTAATGCGACAGAACAAGATACTTCAATTATTGTTGAGGCTTTTTACGCGGCCGTCGAAGTGTCGCGCGGCCGCCATTACCCCGCTCTCCGGAAAGTTTCGCGACACCCTGTAGAAAATAGAACGATCGAGTCTTTAGCCAGGCGAGCGACGGCCAACCAAACCCGACGTCTCAATTTCCCTGACACCCTGCGGATAAGTACCGGCGCGCAGTGATAAGCAAACACGTAGTGGAAATCGTAGGTAATAAGCGGACGGGAGCGATAAGGTCGTCGATGTGGAAGGAGACGTGCGTTCTTCCAGAAATGAAACAGATAATAGTGACATCCAGGGTTTCGCGGGGCGTGTTCTCGATAATAGAGAGGAAGCGGTACGAGAAAAACGAAATCAGATCGACGGAAATTCCA